ACACACACACACACACACACACCTAAACATGCACACACAGCTTAAACTCAAAACACACCAGCCTATCTAGGCAATTACCAGAGCTGTCTGTGATAAAGTGGGCGACTCCTTTAGACAGGAGAGACAGTCATAGCCTCTGAAATGTTCAAATGATACAGTTGGATCTCGTTATCCTGCATGACTCACGCTGAATCCATGAGGATTTGGTGAAGTGCAAGGTCTGCAGGACGAGAACCAGAGGTCTGACCACAAAAATCTGACACAAGACTGCTCAAATGGATGCCACACAGATCCTGCAAAACTTCATTTTTTGTTCAATGTTTCCACTCCAGATAAAGTGATTCAGTAGAAAGTTTGAAATAAACAGTTTGAATGAATCTTTAACAGCTAACCTGGACACTGAAAACAGCAGAAAGAAAATATAAAGCTGACATGTTTTAAATGTAACGAGTGACATATTCCTATAGCAACAAGCAGGAAGTTATGTGACCATGAGGTTCCTATTTGACAGGAAGTCAGTGGGATTGGGGGGGCTTGTTGGGTCAGCTGTCATGTTGAGCTTCATGTCGGGAAACACAACATTTCATCATTCCATCTTCTCATCACATCCTTTGTTTTGTGTCCGTTAGCCAGAAAATAAATCAAACTTAAGCCCTGTGGCCTTAAGGAGAATGGCTCCAGTAAACAAAAGGGTTGAAACATCATTAGATTAATAAGTCATTTGCAGACTTTCTGTTTCTCTCTCTGTTTTTCTGTCATTTCTGGAAGAGAAATAAAGAGAAGGGGAGGGGAGCAGAACTCAAACCACAACTGTCCTGATGAAAGGCTTTCATGTCAGAGAAACATCGGGGTCATGTTGCTCTTCCTCTTATCCCCGCATCCTCCCCCATTTCCGCTCCATCTATCTGTACTAGACTGTACATCCTCTTCTTGTAAAGAGGACCAGACGGTGCAAACAGTTAATGTAAAACATTTTTTCAGTGGATAAGGACGGGACAGGAGCAGGAGTCCTGATACACAGAGGGGAGGCAGGGATTGTAATTACAGTGATACACAGCTCTGCTCTGCCAACATACACCAACTATGTAATGGCTTATCATTCAGACGTGTTTCCTGTCAGGACAGTAAAAAAACATTATATCTTTTAGTGTCAGTCACTGATATAAAGAGTCGCGCTAACTGTCAAAAAGAGTCAAGAAACAACTGCAGACCTTTGCACATTATGGTCCCTCTTTTTGTATTTCTAGCAAGAAGTAAGTCATGTTCAAAGATATGTTTAAAAGTACAGGAAATAAAAACAATAAAATGGAGAATGATGAGGGAACATTTCATCTTGTCATCAGAGAACTCCAGGTTCTGAGCTGTAAAGCAACATTATGTGAGAATCCTGTTTGGTGCACTTTTGCAAATGAAGGTTTCTGATTGCAATTGCACTCTTATAAAACACAGAGCTGTTATGGCTCCCCATCACAGACAACGTGCATTTGTTGACAATCAGGTGGGGGGGGGGGCGCGACTGACAAAGTACAGTAATATTATCGTATCTTGCCCAAATGACTCTGCTAGCATCTACAGCACGTTGTGACACCTTTTGGTGTAAAATGGATTTATGTATTTATTCCTATGCAAACCTGAGACAGAACTTGGGTTAGAGGTCTTTCTGCACCCGGTAAATCTGCTAAACATGAGACAACGATGAAACTGAAAACAGTCACAATCTGCAGGGTTGCACACTCTGCTTCTTGCTCGGTCACTCTCTCTTTTTCTCTTCTTAGCTTCTTCTGTCTCTTAACTTCAGCCATTGTATCAAACAGTATTGAGAGAACCAGGGCGATCTGTGGACATGGGGGAGACGCTATTCTCCTTGTTATAAGTTGTTTTACTTTTACATCGAGTTACATACTGTTGCTTTAATGTATACATTTTGGCGAGGTGGGCACAAAGCAGCTTAAGAATGAATCCAAACATGGACTTGGCCTAGCTGCAGCATCATCGTCATCATCATCACAAATAGGCATTTTTTATGTAATCCTGTGTGATTCCATATAAATGTGTGTTCTCCTGTATCACTCAGTCTGAGAGCTGAGCATATGGAGTATTCTCCTTCGACCAGCGGAAATACCCCTTCTTGCCTAATTAAACTGACAGGCCAGTCAAGTTGTCACGGACTGCATTTCACTAATTTTAATCCTTCCTCCTCCCACTGTTTCTCTAACTCCCTCCCTCTCCTCTGTTTCCCTCCAAAACCTCCTCTCCATCTTCATGCCCATGGGCCCTCGTTACTTTCCCCCCACCCCACACCCTCCCCTCCCTCCCCTCCCCTCCCCTCCCTCCCCTCCATGCCCCTGATTCCCCGTGGACTCAATTTTCCACTTGGGATCAGAGATAAGGAGGAACTGTTCTCTGAGAGAAGAACATGCTGGAAAAAAATCTGTTTATTGCCCTCTGTGTGTTTGTGTGTGTGTGTGTGTGTGTGTGTGTGTGTGTGTGTGTGTGTGTGTGAGATAGACAGTAAAGATAGTCTCTGTGTGTTTTTTTTATAGCGTGGAGATGGGTCAGCTGCAGGCGAAAAAGTCGAGAACAAAGTGACAGAATGCAACCAAGCAACAACAAAAACATGACTTGTCCATGTTCTAACCACCAAATATTCTCTCCATGCGGGAAATGTCAGAATTATGTGAGGGTTTTCCCAGAGACCTGGGGGCGCACTCGCTGGCTCATACTGGACGTTGTTTAAATGAGAAAATGTGTCACAAAGTTTACAGCAATGCCGCGCTCGGGTGAAGATGTAAAATCGAAACCTAAGGAGAACAGGATGTTGAACAGATGATAGAGGGCAAGACCTCCAGATGTGTGCGTGCACATAAACACACACCAAAATGGTAAACACGCAAACAAGGAGGGTGGAGGTAGCTCACACTCAAGGTTATGTGTAATAACTTCCAAATGTGAATGTAGTTCAAGTAAGGAAACACCTTGAACTGATCACACTTGTTACACAGGTAAGAACAGCTGCTAAAAAAAAAAAAGAAGCTAAAGCTAATTAGCAGCCAGACAGCTGGGATCTGTTATTGTCTATAAATAAGACATGTTTCTCTCGTCACTTAAAAAGTATGCTTCTTTAAATTCACAGTACGTCTGATTGATGCCGTCTTCTCTTTATACAGGGTTAGATAACAGCTGAGATGGATACAGCAGCCAGACCAACACACCCTCCCTTATCTGACCTCTCCCTTCCTGGGCAGCACTGATGGATATCTCCCGGCTAAAGCCAGTCAACAACAACACATCAGACACTTACAGTAGGGCTGTCAAACAAAATGATATCCTGCTCCTTTCTGTTTAATTTAAGCATGAAAACAGAGAGCAAGGCGAGCTGTTTCCAGTACGTTAGCTGACTGTAGCTCGTTGCAAACATGCAGTAGAGGCTGACCCGCATGTTCAATCCAAGCAGGGATTGAAAAAACACACAACTCATATCACAAGTTTCACCGAAAAGCCTAGTTTGACTTTTTTTTATTACATGTGCTGTTTGAAAGCCCTCCTTTCATCTCTGAACTGATCCTCAAGGCTGTCTCAGATAAAAGACAGGAGCCATGCCTCCTCTTTGCCACATGCCTTCTCCTTTGGCTTTCTTTCCTTCGTCCTCATGCTTGCCAAGGCTCCTCTGGCCTCAGCATTGACCTCCTCTTCTTTACTTTGCCCATGGGTTGGCATTCTCCCCCTCTGCATCCCTCTGTCTATTCATTATACCATCCCATCCATCAATGAGCCTTTCACAGAGGCAGCAGTGTGGGGTTCGAGCCAGGGCTGCAGCTCGGTTTGAGGAATGTAACCGAGCAACCTTCATGTTAGCCAAGATCTCAAGACTCCTGCCCTCATGCAGCCACTGTCCTGTATCATTTTACACCTCACTGGCAGACCAACGGCAGAACAACTCACATCGGTAAATCTTTACGATCCATACAGTCAAGTGCATTACCACTGAGTATTGATGAAAAGGAAAGTTTATCCCTAGAGGCCAAGCAAGATTAGAGGGTCAGCATCTGGGCTTAACCTTGAATTAGTCGGGTCATAGTGGTGGCAGGAGACGCCTGCACAGTTAACCGAGTTCTCACAATGTCAATAATTTATGTAAGTAAAGGAATCACTACCAAATGATTTACTCAAAACCGCTGGGAAGAACTTTCATTTTGTGTCAATCCAGGAAACCCAAAGTGGTAAATCTATATCTCGCCCTGCACATGCAGAGAGATATTCTGTCACAAAAAAAAAAACCTTCCCGCTGTCTCTTACCAGGTAAGCAAATCTTCCATTGTAAATCATAGCAGTGCAAAATGTAAACAAAGCTCAACTGTAGCATGCTGTCAATCCCCTTGTTTAACACAATAGAAATCTTCAGTCTTGATGCTGATTTACTAGTTTGCTTTTGCAGAGCCCCTTTCAAATATGCACTTCTGAAAATGTCCATACTTTCCTCATGGTCTGCATTTGTGAACATAAGGGACCACATTTTCACTCCAACTTTAAATGCCAATCTACGGTGACGATGACTGACAGAAATCCTGCTCTTCATGCAGTGATAAAGACCTCTTTCCTGAGAGGCCCCCCAGTAATTATCTTTCTTGATACTGTAAATATATGCAATTACACAATGTTGTTATAACGCAAAAAAAACGTTATATCACAGTGTTGGATTTTGTTGTTTCGTCCTCCATCTTGGATATGTTATAAATGTTACACTGTGACTCCCAGAGCCTCCTTTTTATGTCATTCCCTGCCCCCTAAGACCAGCCAACCCTCCGGCCTGACAGGTAAATCTCCTGCTGTGATTCCCATGTGTGAAAGAGTAACTCAGTAAGATTTCAGGGTCCTGAAACCTTCTAGAAGTGGTCCGGAGTACATGTGTGAAAGGGGCTTAGGTTGTATAATTACAAGTATAAATAACCAGCTATACAACTCCTCACAGGAGCATTAATATAATGTATTTGTGTTCTTACCTTGGCCTCACACTTCCTGTGGGTCGCTGTCTTGCATACTATGAGAAAAAGAGAAAAAGGAGAAAAGGAAAGAGAGAGGAAAGAAACAGAAGGCAAGATGAATACCTTAAATCAATAGGTATGTGCTGCCTTAAATTCATTCTTTTTAGACCGATTCCAAATCCTGTTATCATTCCAGCCTGTCATGACATTGCTAACTATGTTCCTATTGGTCGTTCAAAGTAATGTATTCATCAGTGAATAAAGAGCAACACTAAAGACAACACGTGAACATGTTTGCAACATTTACCTCTGCAGAAGGAGCCGATGTTGTCGATGTTCTGACGACACACGCCGCACTGTCGCTTCTTCTTGAAGGTCTTCTCCTTGAAGACGTGGGGCTCCCCCTTCCCCCCCTGCAAACACACACGAGAGAACAGGACCAGAGGTTACACGACAGAACATTTTCAGAAACAATGATCCTTGTACGACCTTCATCCAAGAGTTTGACTTGGCAGATGTTGCATGTTGTGTGTTGTCCCTCTTCACACTTCTGACAGGATGAAAACAAGACGCACAAAAGAAACTGGACTTCCCCGACTCTTTCCACGGAAAGGAAAGAAGAAAACAAAGTAATGGTTTAGCGGGCTGGAACGATGTCAGGAGATTAGAGTTGTCAGCTTTAACCTGAGCAGACCAGAGTGTACAGCTGTGTGAAAGAGTGCACAACTCCACATCATCCGACACTTATTCTGTTCTCCATTTGCCTCTTGAACTTCGGTTCTGGTTGTGTAACTTTCCAGTAATAATCCTTGTGGTGCCCGCTCAAACCGCACTATAATCCTCACTGTGTTTGAATGGGTGTAATGGTTTGGGAAAAGATATAAAAGAGCAAACATGTTGGTCCAATTCTCAACATGAGAGTGAAAAAATCTTTATTTTATTTCATGTCTTAAACTGGGCCTTAGCATGTGTGCTAGTATGTAAGTCAGTGTTTGGGATTGTGGTTGCTATTCCCGCTCAGCCCCTCTTGGTTTCCCCAACATGGGATCAGATCCACAGATGACTGGGCATGACGTGACTCTTTGAACATGAGAACATTTACAAACTATGGGCTAAGTATGGGGATGGCTGAGCGTGGTTATAAGCATGAGTGCATGAAGGGAAGATGGAAACAGTAGAGGGAGAAGTTGTGCAGTGTCATGGTGAGCATTCATCATACACTAGAAAAACTTCTGGTATCTTGTTAGAAATGAGGGATTTGGAGCGGGATATGATTCTCTGTTTCAGCTCTGGGGGATTAAACGATATGATTCATGACATGGATAAAAATGTATGGTCAGTATGATGATAAACACATACTGTACATCATGCAGCAAAAATAGCAACTGTCACAATTTTCCAGCCCTTCTGTTGGATAATATAACGTTTACAGCTCACTACTTTCTTACTGTTCTAATCCAACCCAAGCCACAGTCTAGGTCATCCTGGTCGTTTTGAACTAAACAAGTTAACAAAATGAACTTTTGGCCATGTGTATCAGGAGTAAAGTAACCAGAGGTCTGCTCACAGCCTGCAAAGCATCACCAGAGTGCAATATAAAACACATCATTATGACATGAATCTGCTTCAATCGTCAGGGTTGCTTGTGTTGGAGACCAGGAGACCTCTGCAGATCGTTTGACATCCACAAAGAAAACTCTGGAAAATTAAAAACAACACTGGAGAAATCCAAACTTAAAAACTTGGCTAACATGTAGCACTCTGCTCACAGCCCCTCTGGACATCCACCGCATTTTCACATCACATGTCACATTTTCAGAAAGCTCCTGTGAGGGATTTTGGGTAATTTTAACGACCCCTGTGGACAAACCAGAACCTCTTGTCTCTTTGCTGATTTTATCCTGAACATGTCATAGAGGACTTTTTTAAACAGAAAATCTCATCCTGCTGTCTTTTAAAAAATGGCAATGGAAAAACAAAAAGACTTTCTGCAGCGGAATGTAAATCATCTTTTGCAGATACAGGCATAAAAATGTGTTTGAAGTAAATAATCATTCATCTTGCTGATGCTGTTGTTTGCTGTCTTGTCATAAAAATACATCAGTATTAGTTTATGTCTGTTTTATAACCTGCCTGTCTCACAGGAGCTTTCACTTAACAACTAACGCACGTATGTTGAACAAATGCGCTGTCTGGTAACTCCAAGCCTACAGCATTATCATGACTCACTTCAAACTGGGAGTATATTCAAATTATGTGTCCCAAAATATACATACAAGATAATCAATTGAGAAAAAGTGACTGTGACCATGATTGTAGTTTTTATTCACTCAAATTTGACTGCAAACAAACACCAACACACAGACACACACTATCAAGGGGTGAGTAAAGCTAAATGCTACAAATGCATCTACATATTCACGTTTCCCTAATCAAAGTGAAACAGTGTTTTTGTCCCCTCTGTGTATGCTTTTCCTCCTTGGTAACAAAGAAAAGGTGCTGTTTGCACACTTTTTCCATGATTCTGCCGCTCTGACTCCACTCCAGGGACTGGACAGTGTTTGGACAGCTGCCTGCCTGGCATCACCCTCTGCCAGTGTTCAGCGGCTGCTGGCCTGCTCCTCTGCAAGTGTACTACAACCACAGCAACATGGATGGTGGAGGTGCACAGGCTGGGTGGCTTCAGGGCTGATGTGAGTTACGTAATGAGTTGTGGTCGGGGGACTGATGTCCCTCTTGTGCAGTCGTTTTCTTTTGGAAATATTGTAATCCTTTTAAATCATTTCTATTTTGGTCTGGCGTGATTCAGCCTTGTTTCATTTTCTCACAGTAAAAAAAAAAAAAAGGTTCTTCAGACCTCATGTTATCTTATCGTGATCATGTTTCCACGCATACTTAATTTGGCTCTCTTTACTGACTCCAAGTCCACCCTTTCCTAAACCCTCAACATAACAAGCTCCTTCTCCTCATGACCAATTTAATTACCCCGTGTATTCCTTGCTCATTAGCTCTGCTTGACATGCATGCCTACTGACCATGCAGACTTGGACACACACAGTCATAAAAGAACGCCAAACTTCTCGTGCATATTTGTGGATTCAGACTGAAATATTCCCTCATTCTCAGTCTCGGAAAATTGTGCAATAATCTCAAAGTAAAGGATGTGTGTGTGTGACCATGCAGGAGTATGTACACATGGGCCAGTTTAAATAAAACAGCAACCTGTCAGCTGAACCACAGTGGTGGTGTGGGCAGAGAGATAAACACTTAGATGAGAGGTTTGTAGCATTCTTCCAGTTTCAGACACAATCAAGACCTCGATATAATCCACCCACAGGCAATCATGGTCAGGCAGGGATGCATCGCTGCTACTGGATGCTATAAAAGGTCTCCTATGGACTCACTCAGATGTATGCTGCAATGCAGTGGTTCATGTGAGGGGACTGGATCCAAACTAGGCGATGTTCATGAAACGTCCTGGTGGCCTGAGTTAAGGCGCTGACCATGAACCTCAATGTCTCCGGTTTGCATCAAGCCAGGAATCTTTGTTGCATGTAATCCCACATCTTTCTTTCTCCCCCCGGTTTCCTGACAGCCATCTAAATTTGGCTGTTCAATGAAGGCATACAAATGCAGATGTGGAAATTTTACTCAAAAAAACCACGATAGATTGACTTTTCCTGTAAAACATGACTGGCCAAGCGGATGGAGCGACCACCTTTATCCCCACGAGTTCAGATGTTTAATGAGTTTGAACTTACTTCACTTTCTTTGAGGTTTGAAATTCCTTTCTTATATTGTTAATGAAGTAGACCAAATCTCACTTTAAGGAGGAGAGGCGCTCAACATTAACCACCATGAAAACTGTCATAACTTCATCTGTTGAGCCAGCTGATTCATTCAAAAGCCTGTTAATGGCTAGCAAATGGAATTGGCATGAGAGTACGCAGACCCTGAGGGAGGATTTTTGGAGGATCTGGGTGCATGATACTGTCACTTGAGTTTACCACAGCTTAGGTTTGCATCTCCAATACAACAGGTCCACCTGCTGAATGTGTCTTTAAACTGATGTCTCGATTGTGTTAAGTCCAAGATGATTCAAAGAAACGGCTAAATGCAGAGACTTGTGGTCACTGAAGCCGCTAAAAATACTGCGCATCCCTTCTTATCGAAGCCCCGTTAAAGCTCAGTTAATTCAATGATACACACTTTTTATTTATAACAACTTCTTCACAATGAAAGTCCCCAGTGATTATATGTCATGGGTTCTTTCAGCAGCAGCAACTTAACACAACTCAATCGTCTGGAAATAAAAAAACACAGGAGAGAAAGGAAACTTCAAAGTGCACAGATTCAGTAAGAAGCTCCATCCTCCTGAGAGCTGAACACACACACCATGAGTTAAAACCTCTTTCTATTGTCTCATGCACGCACGAGTTGAGTATCCCCTGACATGCGATTGTGTTGTCACAAAATGAAACTCTTTTCACTTTCCAGCAGAAACCTTCATGAATGTGATGACTCTCAGCATAGCTCATATACTTTCAAGACAATACACTGATTATCTTACCTCTCAGTCCAGAATTAGTTGCAGATAAATCAACCTTTGAGGACATGGCTGCAACGCTGACTCAAAATAATCAACTCAAATAACTGAAACTTTCTGTTTATGAGCGAGACAAAGAGCATGTGGGAGTTTTCTTAAACATTTGCTTTTCTAAAACGACCTATCTCTTGAATACAATAAGCCTTGTTGTAGGCTATTATACGTTACCTGCCTATTCAAATAAAGTGGCCGGTCAAATAAAAGATATCTGGTTAGTTTTGAATCCACCAGCCACAGTGGCAGGAAGACAAAGAAGTTTAAATGTTCCAACCCTGTCCCAGCGTTAGAGTCACACCTTCACAATTCTTATCACAGTAAGTATACTATCAGTAGTTCAGTTGTGACCAAACCATAAAACAATTGATGATTTTCTTTTCCAAAATGTGTAGTCTATTAAAATGTTTGTACAGCAGTAATATGTTTCATTTACAGGCTACCATACACCTAAAACCTAAACAATAACTTGAACTTCTTCACACTCTTTTCAGAGTTAGATAGCTTGTGATGTTGTAAATAGCAATTAAATATGGAAGCTATAAAAAAAGTACAATTTCACATTTCATTTACATTGGCTAAAGCCCAGTTAAGTACCAAACGCTTACCTATGTAATTATAGCCAGAAATAAATCGTCTCTCTTAAAGAAAGCAGCTGAAAAGTACAGGACCTCCGTCCTTAATCAGGGTGGAACTTAATACTTTATGATCAGCTTAATAAAAGACAGCATTACTGTGCACACTGTTCATTACAAACGCTCTTTAAAACACTGCACTAGTCTGCTCAACTTGGGAGTCCAGCGAAGGAAACCA